ACAGGAAAGGTATCAAGTAGTTAAAGAATTTTTGGTTAATTTCCACTTGAGATTATATGACCTAATAAATTGCTTACAGCTCTTAGAAGAAACAATAAAGAAGTATATTCCAAAGAAAGAAGGACCTAAAGAATCTGAAACTATCGTATTCACAGAAGAAGATCTTAAGAAGTTTGAACAAGCGTATATGGATCAGTAATTTATAAAATAAATCTCGTATTTCGTAAATCAGAGAAATTACAAATTTTAATTTCGTATACAAAATAAGTTAAGGTACACATGTATAAAACCTATCATATTCTTCTGAAAGAGGACAAAAAGGAATAGCTAATTGCATATGTAACTATTTTCAATATACTTTCAATTAATAACTTGAAATGTTTAGTAGTGACAGTGAAAAAGGTAAAGTGATACTGCTAGTAACCATTATATTATTTCTATATTATACTATATGGGTGATTGGTTTACCATTTATTGATGACGACAAAATAAGATCAATATTTGGTTCTCAAGAATTAGCTTTAGCGGTGCCTGCAGTTTTAGGATTTTGTTTCATTGGTGGATTAATTCTGTTCACTATTTATCATGTAAAATCATATTTTTCATGTGATAAATTGAGCAAACTTCATGACTCGTAAGTTTTGTATAAAATACGCCTACAATACGAATAAAATTTAACGATACTTATAAAAAAATTTCAATATGAATGTGCAGAACTCCCGGCGCATGTGTCACCTCTATCACTCCACTGCTTGCGTAACCTATTTTTCTGCGAACATTCGGTATAACTGTACTTACGTCTAATAACAAAAGAAGCCAAAATGTCTACAAAAAAGTGGATTGTATTTGGTATTTCTGGATGCACATGCAGTGGTAAAACAACCTTAACTAATCAACTTAAGAAGAAATTTGGAAACTCTGTTCTTATATGTCAAGATAGCTATTACTTTCCAATTAATGATCCACGACATAAAACTATAGCAAAACTCAATCACGTGAACTGGGAAATAATCACCAGTTTAGATATGGATAAAATGCGATCGGATGTTTTAAAGTTAATTACGTCACCAGAAGAAGACACGTTTCCCGTGACAAATGATAAAAAGATTTTAATATTGGATGGATTTTTACTCTTTGCATGTAAGGTTATTTCAAACTTATGCGATAAGAAATATTTCTTAACGTTAACTAAAGATCAGTGTTGGGAAAAAAGGAAGGATAGATGTTATGATCCACCTGATGTTCCTGGATACTTTGAGCAGGTTGTATGGCCAGAATATGTGAAACATAAAAACGAATTAATGAAAGACAAAGATTTATATAAAACAATAACATTCATTGATGGATCAAAAAATAAAGAAGAAATATTTGAAATGGTTTCTGCAGACATAAAAAAATTACTATCATAAAATTTTTCTTACATTATTACATACAAAAAAAATATACTTACAACTAAAAATAAATATACACTA